AAGTTCTATAATACTTTTATGTTTGAATTTAAGAATAATCTATTTTATTTCAAGAATAGCTTATATATTCCAAAAGATGAAAAATAATTATGTATTTTTTGAGCTTATCACGACTTTTCAATAATTAAATATTTTGGATATAAAAAGACTTTAGAATTAATATCTAAAGATTTTTAGTGGCTTTTATTGTAGAAAGTAGTTAAAAACTTTATGCAATCATGTGACATTTGTTTAAAATCAAAAACTCCTTTTTATTGTCATTATGAACTTTTTTAGCCATTACCTATTTTAAAAAAACCATAGTCTTTTGTTTCTATAGATTTTATCAAGGATCTTTCAATCTTATGTTTTTACGATTCTATACTTATGATAGTAGATTGATTCACCAAGATGACATGTTTTGTATTATATATAAAATCTATTATAGGTGACAAAAAAACTAACCTTTTTCTTAATAATATTTATTGCTATTATGGATTATCAAAGAATATTATATTGGATAGAGAGACTCAATTTATATTAAAATTTTAAAAAATTATTTTTAAGATTCTTAAAGTAAACATAAAACTATCTTTGCTTTTCTATCTTTAATTATATGAACAAATAAAGTAGATGAATTAAGTATTGAAGTAGTATTTGAGATGTACTATCAACTACCAACAAGATGATTGGATAATTTTTTTGCATTGACAAAATTTGCTTATAATAATATAGTGTATTTTTCTACTTAATAAAAAAAAATCTTAATTATGATTATTATGCACAACTTGATACTTTTAACTTTTAAAAAGTTAATAACTCTTTGACAAAGAATTTGACTAATATTTTGTCGAAGCTAGATGCAATAATGAAGGTGTAATTAAAAGAAGCCTAAAAACAACAAAAGATTAATATAGATGCCTATTGCAAAGAACAACCTTAATTTCACATTGACAACAAGATATAATTACTTTGTCATCAAATCAAGACTATTTATTCTTATAACATATTGGATTATTATAGACTTGGATCATTTTTTATTAGTAAATAGATCAATCTAGTTGCTTATCAATTTTATCTATTGGAATTTATAAAGATCCATCTCGTATTCCATGTATCTCGTTTTGAGCCATAAAAGACAATAGATATATCAAGAAGATGAAAAATACTACTTACTATAAAAGTGGATAATAATCAAGAGTATGAGATAGAAGAAGTTTTAGATTCAAGACAATAAGAAAATAGGTTGAAATATCTTATTCATTGATATAGATATGATATTAATGAATACACATGAGAGCCTACTAAGAATCTTGTAAATGTATTAAAAAAAGTAGATACTTTTCATTGACAACATCGATCAAAACTAAAATAAAAAATGTTGAAATGGTGAAATACCAAATGTTTGGTATCACAACTTTGGAAGAGACTTTTAATACTTGATAATATTATTTGAGGTAGAAACAACCTCTAATGGTGTTCCAAATGTTTTATTTGAGAGAGTTAGTAAAGCCTCACCAACAATGAAATAACAAGGTAGTCTTTCCGCCTTGGTATGAAACACTATTGATAGCTGAAAAGGCCTATCAACCACCTTCAAAAAAAATAAAGATCCAAATATATAAAAAAATATAATTTGTCGCATCTTGGACTTCATCAACATATGATTGTTGCTCTTCATGGAATTCAACTCTAAAAGAAGAAATAATATCATAGATATGCATCTTTACTTAAATAAGAAGTATTAGATAGAAAATAAATATAAGTGGATTTGATATTATCTATGTTTTATTTGAGAAAATTTTCTTTGAATAGAATGTAATAGGGTTGAGGGCATTTTTTGTGCTTCAAAGGGGGATGGATGCAAAGTTGAGGGCATTGACAAGTGTACTAGTATTTAGCATCACAAGTCCTTTAGTGCAGTCCAAAAATCATATAGAGAGTAGAAATAGCAATTTGAGGGATGTATTTAGCGTTGTCTTATTATATAAGTAATTTTTAATCTTATTATATTATTATTTTAGAATTATATTAAACTTAATTATTTACTATATATATATATATATTTTATAAAATATAAATTTTAATTTTGATTTTTAATTTTGATTTTGATTTTCAATTATTTAACAACAAGATAATTAATTTTTTTTAAACAAAATTTGCATAAGATCTTTTTAATAATGATCAGGTTTAAGTTGTTTAAGTTCTTATTCATGATATCATAGATATATATACATATTCTAGTAAATACCTATATGATTAAATAGAAGTAGATAAAAGTAGATAAAAGTATATTAATTTCATAATACCTTTTAGAAAACCTTCCTAGAAGCTTCATAGATGCTACTTTGACTTTATTTGTGTTTGTAGTTGATTGAAAAGTTAGAAACTTAGAAAACAAGTTAACCACATGTTGGTAGCTTGCAAAACAAGCTAACTATGTGGCGCTCATATACAAAACTTGTCTTACAAGTTAAGATACATATCTTGCAAAGTCAACACATTTTGGAGGTCCTATAGGATATTGCCACGTAGCTCCTAGTTAAGAATATATATGGAGGCAAGAGTGAAGCCTCCTTCACTCTTATCAATGACTTTCTAGTCCTTATTCTTGTTTCAAGAGTTTCTAGTCTTCTTGTTTTTAGCAATAACTATTCTAATTCAATATTATGTCATCTTTGAGTGACTTTCTAGTTCCTTTTAGTGACACAAGAGTGTATTGAGGATTTTTTTTCTTCAAGATTCATATCTTTGACATGTGGTCTTTTAATCCATGTTCTATTAAGATTTAAAAAATATCAATTAATATTTTTAAAACATATATCTTATAAATTTTTATGTAATATATATATATATATATATATATATATATATATATATAGATAAAAATGATTGTAATTGAAAATAAACTTTTTCTTAATATCAAATTATAATAGTTATTGCATAATAAACTTGTTTTCTATCATTTCTTTTAATAATAAAAACTTTGATACACTTCTATAATGAATAAATATTTTAAATACTACAACCAAAGATATATTTGATTTTCTTACAAAATTTCAAAAATATTAATTCTTTATAATTCATAAAATAAATAAATGAAGAAATTAAATTTTAATTATTGATTTAATTAGAAATAATATACATATATACAAAAAATTACTTATGTAATTATTTTAAATTATTGTTGATATTATAATCTGATTAAAACTAAATTAAATAATTCATAAAATCTAATGCAATAAGTAGTAAAGCAAGAAGTCATCAAAAATATGTCCGTAAACATTTTAGGCACAAATAAATTATACATGCATATGTTAAATGAAATAAGTATAAAACATTGAGTATTCACAAACACTAGAATTAAGAATTTCATTTATCTTTACACCAAACACCGAATGAAAATAGTTCAACACACAAGCCAACATCAAAAACCGGAAAAAATAGATCACACCCACACACACTAACACATGAAGTAATCAACTGCACTATTCTACAACATGTGCATGAAAACAACACATCACCCCCACAAAAGAAAGCATGGTTTAAGAAAAACACACACAATCTCTAAACACACAGACCATGATCAAACCAAACACACACATACACACAAACTGAATCATCAAACCGTACAGAATGCTCACAATCCAGAGTCACGTAAAGAGAGAGAGATGAGTACCAAAAACATTTAAGCTCAATTGCAATGGAATTATACAAGTTTCCTGACAGGGCCATGGACGCCTTGTGCACAGCGAGCACGCTTTCCGGCACCAAAAACTGGAGTGCAGATGCGAACTACGCTTCTTACAACATGCACACCGAAGCTATGCGAGGCACAACTGTACAAAGTATACATAGAAACAACAACTCACATTCAGACAGCCAGACAACGATCACGCCGACATCACGGGCACTATGAACTTGAAAAAAGCTCTGACTATGGTATATAGCTGCTCACATTGACGACCTAAATTAATATTGCACGTGAAGATAATATGCAAACGCTTAGAACTTGTGAAAAGAAGTCATATATTGTCCCGGAACTATCATACGCTTACAAACGAGGTTATGATGCGATCCTGGACCGTAATCACAGATGCACAACCTTCGAGGAGCCTCGTTCAGGTAAATTGGCACCACTTTTGTACTTATCGGACCATTCCTACAAACGCACTAGTTCCTCAAGTAGCTGGTGCAAATTTGTTTCACTTGAAAACCGAACACCTAGCTCCAAAAATCCCAAATGACTTGTTCGATACTCAAACAACAGAGTATACTGGTTCCATCAACATTGAAAAGAAAAAAGGTTCTGGACTCATGAGAAATTAATTATTCTACGTGGAAGAAGGCAAAGGCAATTTTTTCGACCGACAATTTTAGGCATTCAAGAATCGCATAAAACAGCAACTGATCGATGCAGCACAAAACGCAAACAATTATCAATTGACGACAGCGGCAGCAACAGGGACACGGCAGCGGCGGGGTCCGTTTGTGGGGCCCGCGGCATTGTGGTTTGAGCGTAGTTCGCATCTGCATTCACCTAAAATGGAAACTATCTTATACTTCGTCAAGCTCAAGGTATGTTTGCAATTATCACAAAAGTGAGGGGTATGTTTGCTATTATCAAGAATACAGTGTTGTTCTTGATATTTCAACATATTTCAGGAGTATGTATGGTATTTTCCCGTCAACAAATGCATCTCTTGTCAACAAATTATACATTGAAACAATAATAAATGTTTCTGATATGAATCTTTAATACAACAATTACATGTATTTAGCAACGATACCAAATTTCCATCCATATCTCTACAAATACTCGTCCCCATTCTATTAAATATGGCCCCAATTCGCCCTCTTTCTCTTTCATTTACCCCCCCCCCCCAAAAAAAAACTCCAACAATAGCACCCAAAACCCATGATCCGCAACATTTCACTTTCTCCTTTTTTGTCCCTTTTTTAGGGTTTCACATGAAGAATGACGTTGCACGCCCCCCCGCCTTGCTTGCTTGGTGGGATTGAGAATGACGGTGGTGGGGGAGCAACTCCTGAGGAGAGAGGAGGAGACATCGCGGCGCCAGTTTCGAAGCGGAAAGGGGGCGGACGGCGACGATGAGTTCACGATGACTTACTCCGCTTTCCGAGAATTGATTTTGTCGTCTGCTGTGCGTGGTCTGCAGCGGCGCAGGTATTGAGAAAGCACCCAAGTCAGGACACGACCAGGACGACCAGGATTAGCACGAATTCCCTGCAACCAGAATCCAACGCGGGGATCACGGCATTGCAATTCCACCCACATCGAGATGTTTCGACAACAGCGCGGTGTTGATGGTTGCTGAGCGAGGAGTAGCGAGCGAGAGAGAGAGAGAGAGAAGCACCATGGCCTCCACTGCGACCAGCGTTTCTAGTGCAGTAGCTGCGCCCTGCATCGTTCCGCTGCGCGTCACCGAGCTTACGCCTGAATCCTTCGCCTCCTTCGGGCAAGTCATCGACCCTCAGCCTGATGGCAGCAGGTTTGGACCCCTCGACGCGCAGCTGGACCTCAGCCGCGGCATTCCCCGGTGGGTTCTCGTTCCCCCCGTCCTGCTTTCGTGGGTTTCCGATTGGTCTTGGCTGTGTTGGGTCGCGATTGGGTGTTATGCGATTCGACCTTGTGTCGCGTGGTGTTCTTTTTCCTTGCCTTTCGTTGGGCGATGATGTTTTGTTTCATGTTGTGGGTGGTTGTGGTTTACGAGGGAGTAAAAGCAATGCTGGTTTTGGGTGCGTGAGTGTTTGTCATGGTTGTTGCAGCGTTATCGTCTTCTCCCCTTGGTTCAGAAAGCTCTAGGTCTGTCTGACCTAACTTCAATGCGAGTTCTCAAGTTCGTTGTTCGAGTAGATTGTGAATTTTTTGTTTTGGGAGAGTGGATGATTGTTCGATGTAGATTGTCGACTTCACTAAATTAGGTTTTATTGAGGTTAGTTAGTATAACTCTGTCTAGGTTGATCATTTCATGGAACACAGGTTTGAAATTGGCCTAAATTGATTTAGCTTATGTGGTAGAAGGTTGGAACGTGCGGTGATGTATGTGCCTCTTTTTGCTGCCAAACTGCTCCTGATCTGCAACGGAGGTGTTTGTGCATTTAGGTTTTATATAATGCGACTGCAAAATAGGACATTGAACTTTGGCTCAATCACGCATCACGCGAAGACGACCCAATGCTTAGGGTCTGCACTGGGGCGACCCTGGTACCTGGGGGTAGCTCCGCCTACCATAATTGGAGCCAACGAAACTATTGACCCCAAGAAAAGTTCACAGGTTTTGAAAGGTGATGGTTACGAATATTTGCCACCCTCTGTTGAGGATGTCCGAGTATTTAGAGTTGAGGGCCCGCGCTTTTTAAAGTTGCATGCGGGCACATGGCACGCTGGTCCTCTCTTCGAAGATCCAAGCATGGATTTTTACAACCTTGAACTGAGCAATACGAATGTGAGCTTGCACTGACCTTGAACTTTCCTATTTGTGCACCTATGTTCCCCCATACTAGGAGTACTCCTTTCCTTTCCTTCCTATATTTCTTGCTAAATGTGGTAAATACACATACGTCTGGAGCGGGAATTCTTTTCTTTTCGTTTTTTTTTTTTTTTTTTTTTTTTTTGAATTTCAACGGTCCAATGACCAAGAACATTGCTCACTACTTTTTTTCTCTAATAGGGTTGCGAGGTGTTAAGCTTTCAGGACATGATTTTGTGTTGTATGATTACTTCAGCTTCATTTTGAACTACCTACTCAATCGGACATATGCTAGCATCGTCCTGGCATCTCGCCGTTGAGGTGTATAGAAATTAGTACTTTACCTCTTTTGAGACGTCACATTATGTGGTGAATGCTTCTCTAAAGACTTGTCACAGATTTAGCTCGAAAATGTTTGTTTTGGTTCGTTAAAGTTGCCTGGTGATTACCGCAAGAACGGAGATGTGAAAGATTTGTGCACGTTGAAGTCTGGCCCACAGCTGGGCTCCGTGCTGATCATGATCCTAAACTAGCACAATTCCATGAAGGCATAGATCCTCTTAGAGTCTGTCGGCACAATTATGAAATCGCTTGCTCATTTCTTCTGCATTTCCTTTACATTACAGCTCGGGCATAATGAATTTTCTGTGTCTGAAGTTCTTTCAACCTTTTGTTTTTCCCGTAGTTATTGCAGAAAAATTTCAGTTGCATTTACGACCCTTTCGTTACACTATCAATTGTGAAGCTGAAAGAGGTTTTGTTGGATGAATGTACAGGAAGTTGACCACTCGACTTATCATTTCAAGAAAAATGATGGTATCGTTTTTGCAGTAGACAATTCCTGTTTTGTTGCACTATAGGTCCGTGAGCTGGTTTTCGTTACATATACACTTCATATTATTTTCACAGACACTTTTAAAGTGATTTGTAGGCTTTGTCTACGGTAGGTTTAATCCAAATTTTTACCTATGGTTGACCAGCTTTGTTTGTGCATGTGAACATCGCACAAATTGATTAGAGTCACACCAGCTCAACGTAGCAACAGTGGGAAACCAAGATGGCAAGTATAGACAAGTACCTAGTGAGTTTATATCTAAAACGACCAGACTGCTTAGGGGTCTGAGTTTGTACTGTATCTTTGTGCATTGTTCTGAATAAGTATGTGGAACATCTGAAATAGTAAATTCCTCTTTGTCTTTGTTTCTCTTTCTTGCACTGTGGTCAAGGAGGTGCAAAACGAGAAAATTAAGAATGTAGGAAAGGTTAAAAAGCATTTTTACATGGGAAGAAGATTCATGAGATGTTTTTGTGTTATCATGTTTTTAGGAATTCTTATTAAAATTATAATGTGAGAGTTTTAGGTCTAGATAGTTTTGATTTAAGTATTTTAACGTGTTGTGTCTTGCTTCATACATCTTTTTTGGTTTGAAACAAGCCTGGATGAGATGTGAATTTAAATGTTTTTATTCATTTATCTTTTTATTAGTATTTCTATTCCTATATATATATATATATATATATATATATATATATATATAAAGTGCTGAACAGCCTCATGATAATTTCTATAAATCACCAGACATCTGATTAATTGTACCCAGTTTCCATGGAGTTCGGAGAAATCTATTTGAATGTTGTTTTGCATGTAGCATTGAATTTTTAAAAAACAAGAAAAGATATAGTCGAGAGAAATCCAATCCAACGATGAATACTTCTGCATGAAGTTGAGGTGAAAATATGTTATAATATTAAATTCGTAAAAGCATAGATTTAGACACTTGAGGAAATTCTTCCCTGACTTGTGAGATCAATTCTGAGGAGACCCACGAACTCAGATTTTCTGTAATATTTATTTCACAAATCAGACAAGGGCCTCAAAAATGAGCTTACACTTAACCATGCGGAACCCTGACACTACACAAGGATATGCTTTCACCTGAAATCTGCAACGCAGACTTGCACATCATGCCCTCCGATCGAAGAATATCCGATCGATACTGCAAAACTCGTCACTGCCTCACAAGGCTGAAACAGTAAGAGGTGAACAGGACAGGTGGCCATGTTGCATTGAACGTCATTTGATATGCAAATATAGCCAAAACACCAGATACTGATTCCTCGGCTCAGAATTATTCCTATCTGGTGTTGTCAAAACGGAGTTAGAGGAGGAGACTCACGAGCTGCTTTCAATGCTCCGTTAGACGAATCCTTCGAGCATAAATATTGCGATTGCAAGAGCCAAGGGAGAAAGAGGTTTGTCTTGTACCCATTTCAAGGCTTCGAAGACGTAAAACTAGGACTTTTCGATGACCTCGTCTAGTATCTGTAGCTTCGGAATCATCTGGTAGTTCAAATTTAGAGTGAGAGTTGCGAGTGTTGCAGCAGGGAGCAGGCACATTGAGTCAGCGCTTCGGCACGCGCTCACCACTCGACGTCCCGCGGGACTAACCCCTCACACGATCACCTGAGCGTCGGTCACAGAGAATACGATGATACTGTACATTCGATACTCCCATGTCAGATGAACTCTTTAGGACATATATATATGTATTATCATAGTGTTCAGTTCCATGCACATATTATGTCACCACGTAGCTTATTTAATTTATCACACAATGGACCATTCTCATACCGACATAAAGACGAAACATGGGGTCGAGTTCCGGCTCATGAAGGGGAACTTCTAAGCTTGCTCCACCGAATGGTGACTAAATCTGGCACTTCTACGTACAAAAAAGAGCTACTAACCAGCAGATAATCTCAAGGAGAAAACCATCAGAATTGCGTACCCAGCCGCATGCTGTATGAACGGAGTTATGCTCAGTATTACCATGCTGTGTACTACGAGACTCATGACGGCCATGAGTTGACGGAGTCCTGCGAGGACGAGTAGCACACCTCGCCTCGCTTCCGAAGTGTGGCAACCACTGGCGGCGACGTTGCGGGGCATGCGCTCCTCTGTTATGCATTGTTGACTTTCCCTAGGCGCACATGCGCTGAGTGGCCTCCAAAATCGGCCATGCCTACAAAAGTTGCGGAAGTTAAGGTTCTGATTTATACTCTCGCTGCAGGCTTAAGTATAAAATGCGGTGTGGTATGACGAGTGTAAATACATCATCGTTGACGAGCATCTACTGACATTGCAAGCAGGGGCCGGTCCGCAGCGAGAGGGGACTGATCGTTTTTCGATAAGATACTGAAGGTTCTGAGGATGCGAACCATGTTGACATCGTTGTGAGCTGGAACATTAAGTGCCATTCGTGAACAGTATCTGGTTGCTGAGGTGAACGTCGAGCTGCCACTGTGAACCATGTATTCTCAGCAAGGAACCGGTGCTTCATTCAGTTCGGCTCCTGATAGCATCTGTCATGGCAAAGCACCTCATGGTGTCTTCGGCGCTGGTGTTGAAAAGACGTCTGTGGTCTCCTACCACGGCGAATCTACCGTCCCACTGCCGGTCAGGATCGGCAAGGTGTTGCTGTGGGCTGCCTCATGGACAGTAACTGTGTGGTGGTTTACGCTGTGGTTCAGGATGCCCAGCACTGAAGGAAGAGCCTTCCGAAAAACGGTCCAGGATGAGCTCAATTACTCTACCTTCTGGAGCAAAGCCGGTAATTAGAGCCCTGTTGTATTCATCAGTCTATCTCGCTAACTGGAAACTTGTTTACACCCCACTTTCAAACTTTCTTCTGAACTGGCACCCGATGGATGTTGTTTTTCTTTCCGTTTCTCGATTTTGCTGGAGAACAATTACATTGAAAGAGGTTGGAGATGTTGCGGTTACGTTTCTTTTTCTTTTCGGCCTTGCATCATCAGCAACAGCGTCGCTTCAACTCGTCGCATTGAATCTGCCAAAAACATGCATTCATTAACACGTCATCTCAGTATTCTCAGTGTACCGTATCTCACTTTGTCATTGAAGCCTGTGAACTGTATGTTGTCCTGGCAGCTACGAACTACACAATGTATGCGGCTCCTGTTATTGCGTTGGCTATTTTCGCCCTGCTGTTCTTGGAGCTGGAGGAAAGATATCCTGAGAGGTATTACTAATCTATCTTCAATTCTAGTTTTTAATTTTGACACATACGTCGTTTGGTAGTTAAGAATTTGCAATCATGGAGACTGTAAAGTCAAAAAAAAAACTCAGTGTTTTCTCACAGCATGATCCGTTTGACCTGAAGGCGGTGCCCCTCAGCAAAGCAGCCAATGCTGGTGAGACTCTACCGAGCAATTTGGACCCAGCCCATTTTGGTAAAAACACCAATTGGAGTTGTTACAATCATCGATATTGTGATCATTGGAATGGTCCTTGTGTGCACGTGTTGGATATGGGGGAGGTTGACCGTGCGTCAATTTGCTGCCATCGACGCCGCCAAGCCCAAGAAGGGTGTGCCAAAGTAAGCACTCTAGTACTCCTGAGATGCCCAAAGAGATCTGTCAGTTGATAGAGTTTAATCGATCAACTGTTTTTACTATAGCAAACCGTTTGGCACTCTAGGCTGGAGAAACTGACTTCTCTGTTGAATCTTACAGTCTTCTGTAAACTGTTCAATTGGGCATCGATACTGACTGGATTGCAACGTTGAACGTACGCAGGTGGGCATTGAAATGGGATAAGCTTTCAGATACGCTGGGAAAAGCACTGCCGTTTACCATCGGTTGTTTGTTCATGCCAGTCGCGAGGGGGTCCCCAATATTGCGGTTGATCGATGTGCCCTTCGAACAGGCCGTGAAGTATCACCGCTGGATGGGGTACCTGACTGTCCTCCTCGTCGTCGTTCATGGAGCAACATATGGCGTTTATGCTGGAGCAATTCATAAGATAGAATTGGTGCGTGCCTGGCCTTGACCAATGGTGAATCGTTTTGTTCTGCAATCTAAGACCGTTTCTCACTACGCTTGTGGTGTATGTAGTATTTAGAATCAAATCGTGCTGTGATTCCTTCAATTCAGAATGATCTATTCATGTGTGTGGTACCGGTAATCTTACGTAGTGCTTGGATAATCTGCTGGCAGTTGATCGAATGGCCTTATTACGGAACCTCGAATTTGGCTGGTACCATATCATGCGTGGCAGCGATGATTATGGGGGCCACGTCCATTCCTTACTTCCGCTCCCGTCACTTCAATACCTTCTTCAGCATGCATCAACTTTATATCGTCTTCTTCGCATTCTATGTGTTCCATGTAGATTTTAGCGAAGTAGGGGGAGCCTTTGGCCCAATTTTTCTTTTCTTCATTGACCGCTTCCTCAGAATGGTGCAATCTCGAAGGCAGGTGAGGGGTGTCTCTGCTCGGATACTTCCAAGCGGCCTCGTGGAGCTTAAGATCCCCAAGCAGACTGGTGAGTATAGTTGTGGTGTGCTCAAACCCCTGGTTTTCATATCTAAATAGTGCTTAAAAATTGTCTATGAAAGGTCTCGAGCATGGTGATTCAGCCGCAGTATGTTGCTTGAGAAAGCGCTGTTCATGTCCTTTTATCCTTGGGGTCTTAAAATGCAACTAACGATTCGTATTTCATCATTGGCATCGCAGGGTTCAAGTACAACACATTGAGTTTTCTGTACATCAATTTCCCAGGACTCTCACGATTGCAATGGCATCCCTTCAGCACAGCTTCCAGCCCCTTGAACGACGATAACAATGTGTCTGTCATTATCAAACCTCTCGGTGACTGGACAAACGCCCTTTACAGTAGCGTCGCAGCCAAAGACGCCAATGACGTCAAAGTAAAGGGATGCCCATTTGCGGTTAAGGTTCACGCGGAAGGTCCTTACGGTCATGAAACAAACTACTTTCTTAGGTATGCACTACGCTCTCCCTCCTGGGATTATGGTGTTAGGATAGCGTACTGTGCGAGCACTAAATTCATCCGGATTCCACTGGCAGCGTTGGGCTGGATACCACTAACATCTTTACTGAGTTCAAAACCTATGGAAAACAACACCTTTGTAAACGATCTAGTGTGTGACATATGTGCTAGAGGATAATCGTTTGCTTTACAGCACAAGTCATTCTGACATAAATATGTAACTCACTCTGGACAGGTATAAGAATCTGATACTGGTGGCTGGTGGAGCGGGTGTAACTCCTTTCCTCGCCATAATGACAGATCTGTTAAAACGCCACCAACTTCAACAGGACAATCTCCCAACAAATGTACAATTAATCTGGTGTGTGAGGAGAAGAACGGAGTTGGCCACTTTGAGAACGATTAGACCCAACCACATCCATCCTAACTATGCTTATCCAGAAGCTAATAAATTAACGCTGAATGTGAAAGCATATGTCACTGGACAGGCCAAAACTGCTGGGCAGGCGGAATTACCTATGGTGGAAATGCCGGGGCTTGAGACCACACAAAAGGGTGTTGAAACTTACAGAGGCATGTCTGTCATCAATTCCTATCACAACTTGTGGATGATAGCTCTCATATGTGCCTCGATGACAGGATTTGTATTGATGTCCGGTCTATTCTACACCTATGTGTCAGCTCAGAGGTTGCAGCCGAAGGGGCATCATTTCAGCACGGCTGTTGAGTCAATCCTTTACTTCATAAGCCTATTTGTAGGAATTGTAATCTGCGGAGGCACAGTCATCTTCTTCTGGATCTCCTCCCTGTCGGAATCTGGATCAGGTGCGTCGGCAATTGCAAACGGCCATGGACAAGACATTGAGGAAAATGACGATGTTACTCTTCTAGACAATTGTATCATCACGGAAGGCTCTCGACCACAATTTCAAGGTTATTGCCAATCCCTATCTCTCTGTTGTTTTTTTTTGGGAGGAAAACAAGTGATAAGTAGTTATGAAACGTGCATGAAGGATCGCCAACTATTGTTTTATTTTTTATACATCGTAGTTGCAAAAGAAGTTGATGCTAACCTCAGTAAAGCTTGCCTAAGATGATCTTTACTCCCTATATTTATTTTGCTAACCAACGGAAAGCGTACTATTTCCACCAGACATCTTTAAAGAAGTTGCGGAAAAACATGACGGAGAGGATGTCGGAGTACTCGTGTGCGGGCCTGAATCCCTTCAAGAAAGTGTTGCAGCAGCCTGCCGCTCTCGGAACTTTGGAAACCTCATGAGGACACCGTTCCATTATCATTCAGTCAGCTTTGATCTCTGATTTTTCGTCTAAACCTTGCAATGAGTAAATCAAAGCACAAGAGAATGTCTTCATCAAAGTCCTGGATAATGTTTTGAACGTAATTTGGTTGAGAAAATCTCCCACATCTTTCTCTTAGTAAGGTTGACACGCAGTCTTTCAGACTCTCTGCGTCACTAGAGATTGTAAACTACTTTGTCAACAAGTTGACAAGTTTATCAGCAGTGTAATAATAGATAGTAACAAATACTGTCGAACATCAAAGCACCAAAGGCCTCTGTAATTGTGACCGTTTTAATTGAATATGAAGATCTCGTCATCTGTTTCACGCACTCATGGTACTTCTACAAGCTAACATATGTTAACTCCATGCCATTTCATTACATGTTGCAGAGCCGTTCTGAGGTTGAAGCCGATGAAATATTCAGGTGATTCGGTATTCATGAAAGTAACAATCGTATTCTTGAGAATCTCATTTAGGTTGATCCTTTGGTAGCATAGCAATTAAAAATCATGTAATAAATTCATACAACTCAATTTTGAGTAAGGAGTTGCATCTCGGGCACCGCGAACAACCTCAAACACGAACATGTGCTCATGTCCGGAGAGCTCCAGGAGCACACAAACAGCCGTGTGTAGAATACCTTGCTCAGAATCTCACCATTCGCGAACGCAGTTCTGAAGTCAAGGTTGATCAGAAGAAAACAAACTAGAAATACAGAAATACACACTTCTCTTCACCGATGCAAATTTCATAAGATAAAGTTTCTTAAACTCACAGCTCTGAATTTTTAGACCACAAAAATAGCCACAAAACCTACCGAACAAATAACCACCCGCTTCATCTGAAAAGCTTCAACAGCTTTTTCGAATACTGAAACACTGTCTTAATTCTCAATCAACAAAACTAGTGTGCAATGAAGATCGGTGTCGGACGCACCTCAAAGCAGCTCTCACCACACACTTTCATCACGAAACAATAATAATCTAAGAATTGTCCACATGCATTCATTGTATTTACTAAAAGTTGCGTTGTTTCATACTTTATTTTGTAACCTTTTTTTTTGATTGACTGGACTTTACCTTTTTGGTTAAGTCTTAGAATTTCAATCCTATTCTTCTCTATTCGAACTTATAATGTCATGAACTTCAGGAGTTTAAATAATGTTAACTTAAATTTTAATGATAATTTAAATGTTATTTGTGGAATTAAAATTGACTTTGAGCAATAAATAATGAAAATTTTGTATATTTCAGTAAAGGAGTAAATAATTTGATGATTAATTTTCACCAGCCATGAAACACCACCTGAAACATCGGCATGTTTTTTAATAGTTTGTAACATTTTATTTCAATTATTTTGTAATTGAATAAAACACTACACTAAAATAATCAAACTGCTTGCAAATTTATGCTCACACACATATACTACACTGTAATTTTCAGTTATTTTTATATCAGTTTTTTTTAGGATTAAAATATTAAAGTAGAAGAGAAATAGAAAAAACTTAAGTGAGTTTTGCATAATGTGATGAAAAAAAATTAATTATTCTAAAACAAAGGAAAACAGACTCTATGATGATGATGCAATTTTATGGTTTTTTTTGAGTACTATGAATAATTCAAACTGATAATTATATATATATATATATATATATATATATATATATATCAAATTCAAATCCATAAACAAAATCAAGTCCTGCAATTAAAATTTCATTTTCACACGCACCATTTACTATACATACTATTAATTTGAGAAGATTACATGTAACAAATAAACCGCAAACAGCGCCCATTTCTATGTGTCAATTTCAAATTTAAATTAAAAGTCCAGCACCGTTTGAGTGTTCTAATCAGCTGACGAACATTATCGTGCCGAAGCCATCCCGAATTTCTTCTTTATTTGGTAGATTCACTGTTTAGAAAAGATATGTACTGTTCCTGCTCATATGTCAGGTGAGATTGTTTTCAAAGGTTCAAAAGTGAGTCTCCATGGCGATGTTGGCGATGGCTATGGCGATGGCGAAGCCGTAGCTCTTCTGCAGTTAGTCATTAACTGGAAGCTGGCGTTGCTGTACTTCCTCTTTCAATTGAGGTACTCGTCGCGGCACCTCGTTGCGCCCATGAACCCCGTTCTCATTTCTGGTGGGGCGTGTATTTGGCTTTTGAACGGAGCTGTTGAGGGTTGTGTGCTAAGATGGAGGTGAGTTTGAAAGGGCTCGATTTCTTTAGCTGGGCTTGATTCATAGACGTTTAGCGGTGGAATTGAAGTTAATCACCTGTTGTATTTTAATCGCTGTTGGTGATGTGAATGCCGATGTTGCAGGTGGTGTGTTATGGCTGGATCTTTCGACTGGTGTGTTGTGGAACCAAGGTGAAGGACATGTTGGGGAAGTGGCGTTCCGAATAAGAGTTCATACATGGGGATTGGGAGGGGCTGAAGAGGTGATTCACGTCTGTCGCGTTTTGGACGAATTTTGGAGCTGCTGAGCTTTTCGTTCTACTGGGGATTTGGGCTAATTTTCTTGATGCTGTGATCATCTTAGACTTGTATGTTGAGTTTGTCTTCGCAAGAAGTTCCTTGAAATTGTAGCCGGAGCTTCACTGGGTGATCAAAATGGAGGCCATAAACTGCAGTCGCTATGGTTGGATGTATTTTGCAATGCTGTTGAGTATTTTAAGTGTAGGAGCAAGGGCGAATACCAACAAGGTGTATAGTCCCTGTATGGATGCCACGGTGCATAAGAACGATGGGTTCACGTTTGGGCTTGCTTTTGCAAGCAACAAATCTTTTTTCTACAACAAAATTCAGTTGTCCCCCTGCGACTCCCGACTAGCGGAGAAATTGAGAGAGCACAAAATTTCATTGTTCCGACCCCAGGTGGATGAGGTTACGCTCCTCCTTGTTAACCACACGGAGATAAATCCTGTAAGCATGGCCTTCTACAATTTTGTAACATATTTTACCGTATTTTAACGCATTTCGGGATTAGTTTAAGTTGAATTTGAATCAGGATTGGAGCAGACCGTCGAGTCACTGAACATGCAATGAAGCAAACATGTTGTCATCGTTTTTAAGATGCCCTTCTCTAGCATACAAGTATCGTCGTCGATTAACGTTGAAGTTTTAATGAATTGCAGAAAGCTTCTTTTTTGTGACCGTATATTTCCCCCGTGATGATTTATGTGTGCTACATTTCGATCTGAGATCCTATGTTGCAGGAGAATGTCGAAGGAGGAGGTTTTGCAGTAGCTTATGCAGGGAAGAAACATGCAGTCGTGTCAGCTCCACATTTCTTGGCAAACTCAAGTTATCGAATCACTAGTCTTTCGTTGGTAAGAATGTCCCTCTTTTTATCTTAAATAAGCCATGAGCCTAAGCTAGGGTGTAGAAACCTCCAATACTTGTTCCCATATGAACACACTTCTTTAACTAGCTCTTGACATTATGTGTTCACTGAGGTTTATCCACTCACGAACCGCCCTACCATTACTTCAATTGTCCAGAGCGCATACTAATTCCCTCTTCATACAGGTTCTGAATTTTGAGCAAGGTAGACTACAGAATATCCTATGGAAGAATGATGGTTGCAAATCCTGCTTGGGAAACTCGAGCTTTGCATGCGTGAGGGGTGAGTGTGCAATTCAAAGCACAGCTTGCATAGAAGCAGGAGGGAGAGTGGACTGCAGCCTGAGCATCCAACTCACGTGGTCAGGTACGGATCAGCGTCAAGAAGTGTTAAACTCATGGTATCAAATGAGCAACCTCAACCAGTACTCGTTGTATGGTCTCTACAGCAACCTTAAGAGCACTTTGACCGATCGATTTAGTAATATGATTCGCTTCGCAAAGAGTCCTTGACATTGTATATAGAGATTACATCTAAGCATTAGATTCTCACCGCTAATGGTAGCTGTACAAATGACATGAATTCCTCAGTAGATGAACACTGATATATTTTTACAATGCTGTCATCTTCACAGTGAATATAGGCAGTTCGAAGTACAATAGAGGAATATATGCCATGTCTGCACAATGATCATGTCTTGACCAGTTAAAATGGTTGTTCTTCTGTTCCTCTCTTTACTTCACTATTCTGGTTCATCCAAATCTTCATGTTAGTAATCAAGCACATACACTCGCTAATCAAAATACTGCATATGAGGAAAACGCCGATTCCTTCCACTGCTATCCGATAGTACCACTTGACAATAGAGTGCAAGGTCAATGAACAAATCTTTAGGTCTTGGCTACTTTGCATATGCTGTGCAATTTGGAAACTTTCCAGACTACAATCAATGGTACATTATAAAAATAGGGTGTCGATAATGCCACAATTTTTGCTACTGTCACACAATCAATCACCCATTTCACCTATTTTTTTAGTTTTTTAGATATTCCAAACAAACATGTTAAAATTTACATCATATAGGGAATAAATTAAAAATTAATAAATGAATAAAAACAAGTTTTTTGATGGAAAGTTGTGTTGGCAATAGTTAGAACTGAAGTTGTATTAGTAATACTCTAGTAATAAGAATGCTTTTTTACTTATATCAGAAAAAAATTCTGAGGTTGAGGTATCCGCATCACACTTCTTCAATACGTCATCTCGTATTTTTCCTTTGACATCAATCTGATTAATTCAGTTTTATTTTCTTTATAACATTCCTTTAATTACAATATCTTTAATTGTAATTAAAAACGAAGCATGGAAACAGTATTAAAACATTGAATAATACTTGTAATTGGACTAGTTAGTACTACCTTTAAAGTTAAATTATATATATATATATATATATATATAAACTCATTAATCAAAGTATTCAACACGTCCGACGGAAATTCATTGTTTTCTGAATTTCCTTGTTATTTCACTTACGCCTTTTAAATTTAGTGAGCTCCATTGATTCTAAAATCGTAACACATGATTAATATAAATCAATTTTAGCTCAAGGGGTCTTTCCTTTGCTTCACCCCGCCGTTGTCCTTGATTTTCTGCACCACATTGATTACAACCACTTATTTCACGCTTCTATAATGGTTCCCTTGCTTACGCGCAGGCTGTTCTCAAGATGTACTTACTGCTATTTTCAGTACCATACTGGAAACTCAAAGCGACGGAGAATTCTAAGAAAACATGACTGAAGGGCTTCCAAGAGCTTCAGCACTTATAATGGTCACTTAACAAGAAACGCTTCCATTAATTGTTCGACTCAGGACATTTCCCTTCTTGAGTCCACTGAAGGACCCTCTTCTAGGTAAGATATCGTTTGACCCTTGAGACTCTAAATTAACTTCCCCACCAAAAGTTATTCTGTAAATAAATGAAACAAGCTCCGAGAGCAGAAGAAATCAGTAAACAAACTCAAACAGGCCCAGAATGCCAACTTTGATGATGATCTCCGAAGTGTAAGAGATCAGTTCACATTCTTCAGCCATGTACCTAGAAGTAGTACTGGCATTGGATTAGTGCTGTCACGAACCGTGACCTAACCTAATCTGACCTCTTCATCCGCAACCAATATCATTGGAATCTCTGCGACACTGTAATCCAGAGTTCAATCGAGACATAAAATACAACACTGCAACCCTATATCAAGTTTCGAATTGAAAGCACGGCAAATACACTCTCCATCATCACCCTGCGGGATAGGCTCCCAAGTATCTTCTCATAAATCGTTCACTTTTACAACATCTTCTCTGAATGAGCGATTGATGAGGAATTTGGGTGACTTCAGGTATCCTAACGATTGATTCTACAGGTGCAATCTCGCCAAATCTCACGTTCAGTTAAGTATCATAATGCCTTCATACAAAAGGCCCATGACATAAATCATTCCCGTACTGCACATCAAGCCAACACTTCAAATTTCCCGATTTACGCAACAGCAAAATGTGACAAACACCACAAACGTCACTATAATTAGGTCTACCTCACAGCGGCAGGTACCAAGTAGGCTTGAGAGCGAGGAGGAGGTCAACCGACGGTCAGTGCACGAGGGAAACGCGATCGACCCAGCTAAGTATGCAAGTAACTAACCTCAAAAGCGGAAAAAACATAGAAAGCATGCGGCACCTAGTCATGTGAGCTCAAAATTCTTCAGGTCAGATCTTTTGGTGTATGTTTGAAAGCCTTCATAGAGGACCTCAAGACATCGATCTTCATCACAAGAGACACTGTAAACTATTCGGGAACTGCACTCGTGAAAGCTACCATGACAAAAGACCTTAACAACCACAGCATTTGACAAACTAGAAAACAGATTGTCTCAGCCCTGAAGCCAGAAAGCAACGCAAAGTAAAAACAAGTTGCGACTTATCAGCGAGGGAATAATATACAGGTTTCTGCAACGGCTATGACCGTGCAGAACCCAAGACCGTGAAGAATCCTAATATCGTGAAGCACCCTAAGACCGTTTCTTCGTCTCCACGTTTCATCCAATTGGGAATGGACCATGACGATTGATGGTCTTATTTCTGAAAAGGATTTCCACATGTTTATTTGTTTATTTTTTTATTTTTTTATTTTGATTTATTGAGGTTTTTGGTGCCTTTTTGCCCATACTTAGAAGCGGAGAAAATTTGGTTTCAAGCTGGAAAGCCCACCTACTCTAAAGCTTATATTGTTTTAAGGTTGATAAAAATATGACATGTTCTTTTGTAGAGTTGATGAGTTTAAAAGTTTAAGCATATGGATATATATATATATATATATATGAGACTTTTTGTAAGAATATCAACCTAAGAAATGGATATACAAACTTTAGAATGAATTCATAATTATATTTATATATCATTTTAACAAAGGCAATAAAATTGAATTCTAAAAGTGCAGTAAGTTTTAAAATATGAAACGTTAGATTTAGCAGTCGCTCCTTCTTCATTTATTTTTTTATTTTTTATTTATTTTTCTTATTTTTTTCATCTTTCATTAAAATGCAAGCCTTTTTTTTGCTTATTATTATTATTATTATTATTATTATTATTATTACTGCGTTTACCAATCAATAGTATAGAATTAATAAAAAAATAATCATTTTTTGATTTGTCTTATTTAATTACGTAGGCTACATGTATTGCAATATATATTGAATGTTATATATATATATATATATATATATATATATGTGTGTGTGTGTGTGTGTGTGTATAAAATGTCTTAAATTATTCCTTTTTATATTTAAGTTTTTACAAGTTCCTTTATAACAGATGTATTTTAAGAGATTATTAAATAGGACTTATGCATTTCCATGCATAATTTTAAGAATTAAATCATTTTATATCATCTAAAAAATAGGAAGTTTAGGAGACATATCAAGCACAATTAAACTAATAAATAAAACTAAAAGAAGTTAAGAAACGTCATTACTCAAATATCTTAATTTCTTATTCTTTTTATCAATACATTCTAATTTAACCTTATCTAGATTTCAAAAAAATTGGTTGTATAATTTAGGTTAACAGTTGAAGTCTCTCTCTATACATATGTATATACTTCAACTATTAACCAAAATTGAAGTTAATATGATGACTATATATTTGCACTATATATAAATTGCTTGTAAAACAAAGTTAATACAAAATAAAAATTAAAAATTAAAAAATTAAAAAAAATCCATAAACATTACATAATATTCTTTTCAAGATAAGTTGAATATCTCAAAGTTGGCAGTGTCTTTTTCTCATTTAAATATTTCAGTATTAAAAAATTATTATTAAAGATCTAACATCCAAGTCCAATACCTAAAACCACACTCTATGAGGTTTAACTATATTGTGTGTTATCTACTTTATAAGAAACACATGACATTCTTTTGTTATAGTTTTGTAGTTATAATATTATTTTTAAAGAAAAAATTCTTAAAATAAATAACTTTACCTATCTATAAATATTTAAGTCTCCATTATTTAAAAATTTTACTCCTCAAGAAAAGCAAGAGGCTCTAATACTAATGTTTACTTAAACAAATGAAATAAAAATCAAAAATATTGAAAATAAGTTTTTTTAATGTGATAACATATATATATATATATATATATATATATATATATTTATATACCTTATTTTGTTATTAAAAAAACAAAAATTTAATTTTTATAAAATAATAATTAATTTTAATTTCATAAAAAATATTTATTATCTATTATAAAATCATAAAATTAAAAAAATAGTGAATATAGCAATAAATAATGTTCTCAATCAAAAAAAATGAGTTAGACTAATTACATAGCAAACATTATCAAGCATGCATAATTATCCTTTGAAATATAGCAAGTATATTTTTTGGCCTAATTAGCATTACTTAATATGTAAATAGTCTCTATTTAGTGATAAAAAAAAAATTAGCTAATCTTATACATCTATTGGAATTTGGTTATAACCATTGAATCCATTTAACATAAAGTAAAGTTTGTGACTTGCCACAATTTCAAGATTTGTATTTGTGAAAAATAATAAAGAAGAATTTGTTTTAGTTATTCCATTTACTTTCATATAATCATTACAAACATATAATTTATCATGCTTCTTATATACAATTACTATTGAAGACAGCCACTCTACTTAATTAATAGAGTAGATAAAACCTATTTTAAGTAATTTATCTATTTCATCTTTGATCTTAGTAGCATAAATTAGGTTCATCCTATATCTTGCTTATTTGATTTATTACGCATTTAGTCCAAGCTTTATATAGTATTAACAGATATGTATTGAGTCTTCATAGCTCCATATAGAAGTATCTTTGTAATCTTGTAATAGTTTTATTGATATCTTCTTGAACTCTTTATCATTTTGTCTTCATATTTTTATTTTTTTGGATTGATCTTTAGTTCCTAAAATTACTTCATCTATTTGTTTTTTTTTTCACTAATGGTCCAATCAATGATAGATTTCTCTTTGATTGCCTCCATAGTTAGAATCATATCTAACTTTATTGTCTCTTTTCTTATTTTATAGAAATTATTTGGATATTTTATTAACCCTCTTAATTTGTTTGTTTGTTTGGTGTTGTTATTATTGTTGTTTGTGTTTTTTTTGTTTTATTTTTTTTCTTCTATTTTTTTCTTAGGTTTAATATCTTCTTATTTCATTAGTTCAACCATTTATAATCATAATTAAATATTTATTTTAATTTTGATAATTTAATATTAGGTATTAAATGCAATGAAAGTATTAGTTGATAAACAACTTGTTCTTCTATATCAGCCAAATCCTCCTTATAGTCATAACATTCTAGGTACACAAGTAATTTTCACAGTGGAAGAAATGGACATTTCTAAATGGTGATTTTTTTTCTTCTATTCTTTAAAAAAATGATTAAAATATTATAAGCAAAATCTTATTTAGACTTTGTTTGCTTAATCCATAATTGACCTAGTAATATAGAATAACTTTGGAATTTTGGCTCTATTTTTATAACTATTATTGTGATATTATGAATAAATTATTCTACTTTATTTTTAATTTTTTAATTATTTTTATTAGTGTCACTTTTTATCAATCAACTATCTTAATTATGAAAGATATTGGTTTAACTTGGTTATAACCTAATTTTTTACATAAGTTGCTTACAATAATATTGATTCTAAAATCTCTATCTAATAAAACATTTTATATACTATTATACTTGATTTTGCCAATAATAATAAGCACATTTATATCATAATCTTGAATTTTAATAATAAATATTTTTAATATAATTAGTTTATCTAAACTTTCCAAAAGAAATGCATTCATAATCTTTTTTTATAATATGGAATTAACTCCAATAATTGGCTTAAACATAAAAAACCAAAAATAAAATTGGATAATAAGAGCCTATTATAGCAATAAATATAATAATTTTAGAAGTTTGTGTAATGATTCAAGTTCAAAGAGTGAAGATTGTGGTAAAAGAAGAAAAATCAAGTAGTAATAATAGTAATAAATAATAACATTCAAAATTACTATTTCTTCATGCTTGATTTATATAACTCTTCTTTAGTGAGTTTTCATGTTTGTTTTTTTTATATCTTCCATCATACCTTTGCTTAAACATATCTTCATAGTAATTTGGCCTATATCCTTCTATGTAAAGATATCAATCCTCTCTTCTATAATAATTTTTTCTTGCAATTTTTTTCTTCCTATAATATTGATAATTTGAGGATCATTTATTTGTATCTTAATTCATATGTAGATTTCTTTTAAGAGTTTTTTTTTTTTTTTTTTTTTTTTTTCTGCATATTATATAAATATGGTTATACTTCATTAACTACTAAGCTTCTATCTTGATAATATCAATTGTATACGTAATCATTGGTTTAATGAGTATAAATATTATAATTAGTGTAAAATTTTAAATGACATTCTAAAAAAAAAACTCTTTATTATTACACTTGCAGAAAATCATTCTAGTCTTAAATTGCTTGGATTCTATTGTTAATTGAGCTATCTCTTCTTTTACTTCTTTTACTTCTTTTAGATCTTTATTAGTTTTTTTTCTTTCTTTATTTACTTTTTTTACTTTTTTTACTTGAATTTTTACTTGAGTCTACATATATTGAATTCTATATTTATTTTTTTATTATAGAAATTCTTTTAATATATCACTTAATAATAATATTATATATTTACTTATTTTTTCTTTAGTTTATTTTAAAACAATATCTTTTTAGAAAAATTATGAGATTGAAGAACAAGTTTATTATTCAATCAAAGAACTCATTTATATTTATATCTTATTTTTTATATTTAAAGTATGAAAAACTCTCAATAACTTCTTCATCACTCTTTTTTTCTAAAGCAAATAATAAATTCATCTTAAAGCTCCTTGTCTTATTTGATTTTTGTACTTATTAAGTCTATATGGTTCCAAAAGCTCTTATACCAAAGGCATTTACTACTTACAAAATTGACCTTTGTTTAATATGCTTTAATAAAGATCTTTCTTTCATATTCATCTTTCTTTCATTTTTTTTTACTAAAGTTTGATACTATTTTTTTTCTTCTTTATTTCTTTGTTTAATCTTCATGGCTTAATTTGCAATATATAATTATTTTTTATCAACTTTGTTTATGATTTTTAATATTTTTGATAAACTTAGTAGACTCCATTCAAGCACATCATCCATCTTTAATAGGTTTACCAATACTTATTAAGAATTTATCTTGGTAATAATTTAAAATTGTAAGTCCTTAAAATCAAATTACTAGGAATAATAATATATTTTCAACATAATCACCAAATAAACACTAAGATTCTAATATCTTAAAAATCATAATATTATTTGAAGTTAATAAATCTATTTTATTTTAACTTCCTTAAGTA